AATATTAAATAATTGAGGCAAATATGCAACCGACTACACAGCTGTATACAAATAGACAACCCGGCCTGTGTTCATCACTGGGAAACAGGGTGAGGAAAAGCACACCTTTACGGCAGCAGTGCAACAATCAAGGCACAGGGCTACCCTTGACTCTGCAAGGGTGCAATTCTACGCAGGCTAAGGGAGAAAAAGGTACTATCATTCTCAGATGCTGCAGCCAGAAAGTTTGGACATTCAGATTCTGAAGGCTGTGATGGCGGAGAACGTGCACTTTCGGTGTATTGCAGTAAGACCTCTTCTACCAATTATAGAGAGCATGGGAGTGGCAATACAACGGATTTTGCTGGGCTGGACAAAACAACAAAAAGAAATCATGCACACCGCTTTCACTGATTCATTTCCCCCCTCATCCTCTTTGTGCCAGTGCTGCAGTTTGTAGTTGCAATAAATCAGCCAGAGAGAGCCAGAAAGGTACGCGTCCGAGTTTGTCCTCAAATTACACTTTCTTTGTTTCTCTGCACTCCACCCACTTCGATCGTTCATGGGAATATTGGGAAGGAAAGGCCAGCCAAGAGTTTTCTTTGGTGGCGGGGAAAGACAATAGTCAATTAACATTGGATAGTGATGACAGTGTGGCATTTAAAATGATTTCTAGACCTACTAAAAGCCCCAAAGCTTTTAGAGGGAAAGTTGAGCCTTATTTTGCCTTGCAAAGTATATGATTGTTTCTCAGAATCATCAGCTATGCACTGTCTGTGCTCCCAGGTGCTCTATTAGCATAATGAACAGTGAAAAGTCTGGAGGATACTGACTAAACCAATAGAACAGAGCAAGCCGAGTGAAGAGGGCGTATCATGTGACAGAGAAGCTTAGAGACTGGTCCAGGAAGACTGTGACTTTAGCAGCTGCTTGATGGGCAGAAATCCCCTGGCAAACCAGTTCCCAGCATTGCACTACCATCTTGGACGAGGCAGAGCTCCAGGAGAGGCAGCCTGGACTGCCTGAGGTTGAGGGCCTTGCGCACTCCTGGTTGCTAGGAGCGTGCAAGCAGAAAGGTAGAACTAAGTGACGTTGCCTTCAGACACCCGTATCCCAATGCTCGCTGAGAGACATTGGGCCTATGGAGCCCAGTCAGCACAACAAGGTCCATTGAGGCTGGTGAGCAGCAGCAGACAACAGTAGACAAATCATTGGTGCAAACTCAGGGGGTCAGAAGCCTGAAGAAACCCCCTCCAGGAAGTTTCATTCCATCCCTGTGTGCTGATGGCCCTGGGCACATGAGCAGGCTGCAGCTGGGAACACAAGAGCAGGCCTGGCTGGGTCAGAGCAAAAGTCCATCTAGTCTAGCCTCCTCATTCCCACCATGGCCAACCAGGTGGTCCTGAGAAGCCCACAATCAGAACAGGCGTCAAAAGCGGGCCAGCCACCTATTGGAGAATGTTCAGTTGGATTCATTGTTGGACAGGAACAAAGAAAGGGAACAGCCCTGGGGCTCCTTCCAGGTGGCCTAGTGGGGTTTCTTGGGCAGAGCATGAGAAACAGCCTGTTTTGGAAAGGGCAGAAGGGTTTCTGGGAGGGAAGGGGGAGCATGAGTGAGAGCCAGTCCTTGACCCAGCAAGGAGACATTGGGAGCAAGAGCTACGCAGTTGGAAGGACTTTGCTGGTTGCTCCACCTTGCTAAGCTGCAGCAAGAGCCACCCAAAGGGTGATCAGAAGCTTTATTGAAAGGGAGGGACAGAAGGGAAGGTTCCCATGTTGAATCAGCTCTTTACAAGAGCAGAAGCTTCTCCTTTAACTTGGGCAATAATGCTATTTAGAGTTCAAACTCTTCTGTTATTTGTTGAGCTTCAGTACAGGAAATGCATTTCAAAGGATTGTCTGGAGTTCAGAGGGGAAGGACCTTGCAGGCAGTTGCACACAACAGTTCCCCTGTGCTTTACAAGGGAAGAAAGCTTTAAAATGTATGTATGTAGGTGCACACTTTTCTTTCACACCAGTTAGTTAATCAAAGAGGAACCATCAGCCTTAAATGGCACAAAAGCAATTTGCATCTAAGATGAGAAAATAAAGCATGGCGGGAGGGGGGTGGCGGGGGGGGAGAGAGAAGACAGCAGTGGTGACCTGGCAGCAACATCCTTCATTTCCAATAAAGTTGCCAACAGACTTCCAGAGAATCGTCTCCCTTTCCACATAAATGGTGCTTTCGTCACCCATTTCTCTGTTCCTGCTGAATTTGCAAAGAGCACATGACACCGTATTTTTTGTCAGGCCAGCCTCATGCCATTAAAATTGAGAGTGTCATAGCGAGTCTCAGGAGCAGCAGCAGCTCTTTTCAGAGCAGTTGCTTACATTAATTGTGAAAAACATGGGCCTGATTTATGGCGAATCAATTCACTGTTCTCTCTTCCACTCTTTGAGAGAGAAGCACAGTGGTGGAGAAGCTCAGGCAAGAACACCATGACTAGGGCACCAGCTCCTACAGCTTTACCTGCAAACATGGTGCACCTGTTAAAAAACCGGACAGGGTAGCCAAAAGCTAACAACAGACAAATCTGTTTGCTCTTTAACTTCTGGCATATTGAACTGTAGTTCAGGAAATGCCAGCTGAACACACCAGTACAGGCCAGTCTAGTCTGTGCCATTCGCCATTGCCCATTTTCACCTTCCTTCCTTGCCCGCAGGATGCTGACTGGGATCCAGTGAAAAATGTATACGGAAGTTGGCACAATTGACGGAGCACCAAAAATGGGTGGATGCCAAGGCTTGTGGGCTGAGAAATGGAGGAAGGGAAGGAGAGCTGGACTGGCTGAAGAAGGAGATGCATTTGGCACGCACAGATTGGGAGGTGGGCTACCAAAGAAAGTCAAAGTAGCAGCAAAAGTAATGGGTCCAGGCTTGCTGGACTACAGAAAAAGTGGCTCTTTGGACTAGTAGGAGAAGAAAGCAAAGACCATAGCATTCAAGCTTATATGGCATTCCACCATACGCATATGGCCCTTTAGCTTACCCATCCATGCAAGGCCTCTTCCTAGTATATCCTATGGCAATCGAAGCGAGTTCATTATAAGAAAAAAGCAGGATCTAAATTGAATAAATAAATACTGTACGTGCATGCTTTGGACAGAAACCTATAGTGAATAAAGATGGATAATCATGCCCCATCCCCCATCTCTGGCTGTGATGACCCACCGTAGTTCATGAAGTCTGTGCCGTAAGCTGACATAGATCATAAAGCCACATGTTGAGCTGAGGTGACCAAGGCAGTTGTCATTGTCTTGCATCATCCCTTTCCTTGTCACCTTTCACAACCTAGGCACTGCTCCTTCTTCAGAGATGCAGCTGCAATGCACATCCTAACCTTTGCACACCCACAGAGACACCAACTTCTGTTGCACACATTTACAACAATGTGCTCCTTTTACTGAACAAAACCTTAGCCACCATTTGTTGCAGATGCAACCTTGGCATCGGCTCCTCCTTGTGCTAGACAAAATGACTACAGTTACCTTTGTCTCACACTATTAGCAGACTTGAAGTTCTTATTGTTGCAAAGTCAACAACATTTCACAAGCACTTGGCGTTCGTGCAGTTGCTCCAGTCTGCACCTTCTTTTTTCTGGCATTTTTAGATTTATGTTAAACAATGTATCTAAGGAAAACCACCTGCAATGATAATTACTTTTGCACCAGTAACTGAGTTTGCACAATAACTGCCTCCACCAACCAGATGTTCTATTATTTCTTAAAAGTAAAGGAGGCAGTGCACACACTGGAGGTACAACATTTCTGGAAATGCTGATGCGAGAAGGGAGTTCTTTACTTGGGGGAGCAATGGATATTTGCTGATAAGTAAAAATATATTCAGCATACATCTTACCAAGTTAAACTTCCATTACTAGTTTTAGGAACATCAGATGTAATGTGTACCACCTGTCAGATAAAACTTTACTGTTCTTATCTTTATGAAGTTCCAAAAGTTTAAGTGCTTTACAAATTTTAAGAAGCAGAGATGTGTGTGGCATCGGACAGGGGATGAAAATCCAATGGATTTTCTCAGCTGGGCCCAGCGGATTCTCTTCTGTCAACCCTCTGCTGGGGCCAACTTGATCTAATGCAAGCTGAGCCGGCATGCCAACTTCCATTCTTAAAATAGTCCACAATTGTGTACATTTTTAAAGACAGGCAAATTAACATGGAATTTGGGCCCTTGATCCATAGATTAGTTCCATTGTGTACAATTGTGCACATTTTGTAAATTTGTATATACTTGCGTGAATTTGCACAAATTCTGGGGTGGATGACCCCACTTTTGCCCAAATTAGCTGTCACAAAATTAAAGCAGCAAGCCGAGTGCGTGCATACACAGTGAAAGGTGGATGGTCCCGTTTTTCGCATGCTCAGCGCTACCAGAACAACAATGACTTGAATCTACTGAGTCAGCTCATATTTACTCAGTTTACCCAATTTCCAGTTCAGGCAAAAAGCAGTAGGGATAGACCATTCTTAGATCCAAGTATATAAATACGTCAAATAATTCTGTAAAAGCCAAAACTCAGCCCACTTCTGCCCATCGGTTCAGGTCCATGTGATATTGTGCTTTCCATGTTCCCCTGAGGATGGTCTGGAGGCACATAAGCATCCCCTGATGCTGAAGCTAAGCAGATCTAGGGCTGGCTTGAGGTTGGAAGGGAGACCACCTGGGAACTGTGTGGAGCCACCTTGAGTTCCACAATGGGAGGAAGGTGAGATATGAAATATAATAAATTATGTTAATCATTCCAATGACTCTTGGAAGCCTGAAGGCAACATCACACCAGAGGCCTGAAGGCAACATCACACCAGAACATGTTTCAATCACCCTCCAATCTTTTCCCACTTGGAATCCTTTCCACTGGCGGGGACAGATACAGAACCAGGTCTCTTCGGAACATCAAGCAATCCTCCCAGCGATGGGCGTTCCCCTCCACCAAACCAATGCTGTCACTCCTGCCAGTAACCTACCTGTCATCACGCAGTCGCGGGCTCAGGAAGCGGGATGCATCGTCCTCATGGCTGCTTTGCTGGCTACTCTGCTGGCTGCTGGAAGAAGAAGCAAAGGTGAGGTGCCGGTGATTAGGACTTCCAGGGGTACAGGCTGCTTGCAACGCCAGCAGTCTCATGCAACATTATTCTAGCAGTATTTAGCATAGCAAAAATACATTTCGGATCTTGGATTACTCTATCTTGGTTTAATCTCACCATGTCTTACCAGATACAGGACAGATATTTGCTAAACGCCTGTTGGAATCTTGTCTGAACTGGTATTAGCTTTTAAAGGGATAAGGACTTTATTTGCCAGCAGAAATGGAGGTTCCAAGTTGCAGACTGGGTGGGTGATTCATTACTTCTTACTGTACTCCCTGCAATCTTCAGTCCTCAAACAAGGTCCTGTATTTCTATCCCATTAATAAGAAAAACTATTCCCTTGCATGGAGAGACAGATCTGATCAACGCACAGAGCTACTGAGCAGTGTAGAAAGGTATTGAATGAATAATGGCTGAGGAATTCTGGGAGTTGTAGTCCAACTCATCTGGAGGGTACCAGACTGCAAGGACTGCTCTGCTCATTGAACGGAGTTGCTGTGCAGTGGAATGGGAGGAAGTTCTTCACCAGCTCCACATATTAGAGGCACCAAGAATTTGAAGTCCCAAATTCCGGGAAATTCCCATTAGCTCTTGCACTTTTTTCATGCAAGTCATCTTTGACAAATGCACACTTGTAAAGAGCCCAGGAACCTGTGGTATCCATAGACAATTAGGGGGGAAATCCTACCGAAATACTAATGTTTTAAGCTGTCATTTGGCACCGTCTCGGTATCTTTCTTACTGAAACCTGGCTCAGCTTCCCCTCCACAGAACTAAGTTCCTCTACAAACTTTCCCAAATGGTACATCAAAAGGGCAAAATATGCTGCACTGAACATCCCCCCGCCCTCCAAATCTGGCCTTGTCCCAGTTCCCTCAAACCACTGCCATTTTCCAGAAGACATAACTTATTCCACTTATATTGTGGACGTGGAACATCCAGTGGAGAATCCAAGAACTGTAAATAGAGCTGGAAGGAATTTTTATTGGGATGTTACATGTTCTGTCCACACGATGGCATAAGTTTGCTTTTCAGCTGCTAATACGTTATGCACACATAAACCTTCCTATGCAGGAAAGGCCTGTGGTTTGCAATCCCCTGCTGTCCCTGTTATACAGCTGGGGAGATTCTATTGCTCTCCTGTCCAACGGGCTACTGCTGTTCATTTCCGATCAGCTGCCAATATTATATCTACCTTCCTGTTGGGATATAATCCAACTGCAAAAGTAGCTCTGTGCACATCTGTAACTCCTAGATAGTTTCTCTGATTTCTACTATGTTATTGTCTGTTTTTCCCTCATCTTGAGCTGTATCTGTCTATTCATTCACAATGATCCAGAAAGAGATCTTAGGGCTTAGGGGTCAGGGTCTAGGATTAATTAGGAATGGAACGGAACGGAATGGAAGGTGCCAAGATAATCTTCCATTTAGGTAGGGTATTAATTGTTGTTCACTCCACTGCTATAAAGATTTCCCATTTACAGACTGCCCTGCTTCTCCTGTTCAGTGGTCATTTGTGGAAAGCTTAGAGGGAGCTTAAGAAGGAATTCAGGAGAAGGCACCTAAGAGGTCTCTAGATCTTGGAGAGACAGTTTGGAAGATACACTAGATAGCTTCTTCATCACAGGATTATTTTATTGATTGATTGATTGATTGATTGATTGATTTAAACCTTTTCTGGTAGCCTCCTAGCTTCACACAATGCATGGATATTTCTCCCTCTCATTTTTCTCCTTCCAACACATTTTTTTTTCTTGGAAAGAAAGGTAGCGCACAAGATTTCCTAAGAATAATAATACTGTATCCTTATAACCAATTTTAATTCTGGGCAAGTATGCTATTGTGCTACACGGACAACAAAGCATTATTTTTAAACTGCAGAATGCGCATTCCCGCTTTATGCCATCATCACATATAGCTAAACGACCTGAAGTATAACTGATACTTCCGCAATGCACAGATCAGAAAGAGCTATTGATCTACAGGGTTCTTACCTCCTTCCTTCAAAACAGTGGAATCAGTGACATGCAAGACCCTCCTGTTTTGGTCAGTGGAGCACTGGAGTAGACTCTGAGCAATTTCTTATCATTTCAAGCCCTCTTTAGTGACAAATGGACCCACTTATCTCCTGTGGCCACAAGCAGACTACAGCCCAAGTTCTGCACAGCACTTTAAGAGAGTCACAAGTTGCAAAAAGTGTAAGAAAAAATTAACCTGCTCAAGTAACTATTAAACCTTCCAAATGGCATTTCTTTTTCAGCTTTGCCTTTCTCTTGAGTTGATGGCTGTCCAGGACCATGCATATAACAAAGGTCACTCATGGGGTGAAAGTTACTGACAGGATCTGGCATTTACACTGTATGTATGCCCCGCAGAGGAGACGGACACTTCTGGCATAATTTAAGCTCTCTCTGAAAGCTATTCCCAGACAATATTTAAAATTATCCTCAGTGCAACAAAGACTGAAGTAACACCTGGAAAATTCAGTTTTCCTACCTATACAATTTACGCACTTACCTACACTCACACATACACACAATTACATTATTGGTCGCATAGTAAGTTACCATCACTGTCACAAGCCACCAAGAAACAAGGAAGGGTCGACTCTTCATGAAGCTCCCCAGTTTAGTTAGCTGCTAGAACTTCATACTGGAACTTCCTTCGGGGGCAGTGAATATTATCAGACTTTGGACTGGTGGGGGTCATTGCAGTGGCTACCAGAGCTTCCAGTTAGGACTAGGAGTGTGCTTGACCAACAACAGACTTCCTAGCTTTTATGTCGTGTTTCAGTGACTATGTTTAGGCACTCTTAAAGGCTGAGTGCAAGTTCTCATTGAACCATACGTTATCAAGTTGTCCAAACCCAGCCAAGATAACAAACCACTATTAATAACACAATTCATAACCCAACAACAAACCATGGATTCTTTCCATGGGTTGTTCATGGCTAACAAGCCATGGCATGTTAGTACAGCTGGGTTCTGAAAACACAATAATCCACACTTGCAGCCACAACCCATCCTCAGTCCTTGAATGTGAGTCATTGTGTTGTGTGAATCCAGGAAGTGTGTTCATCAGCTCTGATCCTTTCACAGTGACAGGTCAGGAAAACTAGTTGATGTTCAGAGATTTAGTTCAACTGGGATCTAGGGAAAACAAATTTAAGCTCTCCCCCTTTCTCATCATTGGGTGTTGTTGGGACAGGCATAAGCAGTCGAAACTAGACAACTGCCTAGTTCTGGGCAAAATATTGCTACTGAAGCACGAAGAGCAGAAGCTCATTAAAGAACTTACCCTCAGAGCTTAGCTACCCAACATTCCTCCTTGAAATTTTGGAGCAGTAGCTCATAAAGCCTTATGAAAATAAAAGATGTCTGTGAAGGAGAATATCTTCTCTCTAATGTTAAAGTGCTTGGCCGAGTATGCTCTGTTGGCAATAGAAGGCCAATATAAAACAAAATGGATGCAGATTCTTTAAAGCAAAATAGGTTGTGTTAATGTTTGCATACTTTAAGAAGCAACGATTCCACAGCAGGATTGCTTCCCTGCCTTGGAATATAGAAATCCAGTCACACTTGGATGACTTACTTCTTTTGCATTCCAATCCCCTCTTTGAGGGGGAAGACAACAAAAAGAACAGATGGTGATTACTGTTAAGCAACAGAGAGTGCAATTTTTGTACTGGAATTCAATTATGGGCACACAAAATGTTATTCACATGAGATGAAAAATTGTACTCATATCCCAGAAGAGTTTTTGTGCCCATAAATCTGAGGTTAATGTTATTGTGTGAAATTTACTATGAAATTACTTTTTCTTCCTTAGTGCTGACAGACTTCAATGTGTTATTTGGGGTGGGGGGAGAAAGATTATATGTACATTTGATGTCAGTTGCTCCTAGCAGACCCCTGTCCATCTCTCCTAAGACATGGTGTATTCAAATTTTGATTTGTGGATTTGGATATCAAGATTGCCCCATCCTCATGACCAGGAACACAACATAAGAAAATATACATTGCTGGTAGAAGAGATCATGCACATAGAAACATAGAAACAGAGTGAGTCAGAAGGGGCCTCCCGGGCCATCTAGTCTGACCGCCGGGTCCATGCATGACATGCCTACCCTGTGCATGTCCAGCCTGTCCTTGAACACCCTCATTGATGGGGCTTCAACTGCCTCCTGTGGAAGCCCATTCCATGCCCTAGGGGCCCTGACCATCAGGAAGTACATATAAATGGCTAGCCCCAGCTGCCAGAAGCCAACCCTGCCACAAACAAATTGACATTAATAATGTGTGAGACATCTGCTTTGGGGTGGAAATCCATTGGATTTGCTCAGCTCAGCTGCCCAGACTCCAGGCCGCTTTCTCCTTGTCCTAAGCCCATGTTATTCTGAGCATTCACATGGGTGTCCAACCACTGCAGATTGCACTACAGATGTGCAAGTATAACTAGCAGGGCTAGGTTGTGCGCAGGCCACACATGTACCCATTGTGCAAGCAGAGCTGTTTCCACATGTGTGACTTGTGGGCTTCGCATACCCATCAATTTAGTGGAAGGAAGGGGCCAGTTAGCATTCCTCAGCATTTATGGACTTGATCTCAGCTTGGCTTGCTTCCTAGGCCATGGCAGAGTGCAGGAACGAAGTCCAAAAAGCGCAAAAGAGCTGGATTCTGGGCAGATCCGGATTTGCATCACTACTTAGAATATTTCAAGCAGCTCCTTACAGACGGGCTTTTGCCGATTTCAAGCGAAAAGGGAGAGTCACATTCAGAAGATGCTTGTAGTCAGCATGTGTGCAACTTGATTTTACAAAACACACCAGACAGAAGCAGCAGTTCGTCTACACAAGGCATCCAGTCCAACACTTTACTGAGGCTGGTTCTTCTGTTTTGTTTGCTGGAGGATTACAGTTTTTTTTACATTTCCCTTCCCTTTCTATATGTTGCTAT